AGTATAAGGTATGCTAAGTGGGATGAATGTCTCTGCAGTGGAGATGCCCCTACCAATTGCATCAATCTTGTTTTTGAAATGATTTGCAATCTCGTAAGCAGTGAGTGAGGTGGAGGTGCTGGGTGGAGGTGGAGAAAGTAGAGAGTTAAAAGTAGAGAAGAGACAACGAGGACTGGATGTCAAGCAATTAATGAGTGACAAAGTAGGCTTGTTTGGCAGCATGGAGGGAGGAATTGTATGTTAAGAAAGCAGATTTATATCTGCTTGGTGAGATTTGGCTTTACGCCACAATCGCTCCAGCGCATGGCTATGTCTCTTAAGATTTCTGGTGTCATCAGTCTGCCAAGGTTGTAACGGTCGGGGCCTGATGCTTCACATTGTTAGAGGAGCAAGCGAGTCTAATGTGGATGAAAGTGAACTGTTATAGACAGCAGTGGCCAGGTCAGGGCAGGACAGGGGAGAGATTCTGTAATACAGTTGGTCAGTTGCAGAGTGGAAAGGAGCAGGGTTCAAGTTGTGAAGGTTTCTGCGGGTAATTGTTTGCTGCTTGGAGGGATAGGTGTTTGAAGACAAGGAGACTGTGAAGGTGATAAGATTGTGATCAGAGAGAGGAAAGGGGTGTTTGTGAGGTTGTAGGGAGTGCAAAGACGGGAAAAAACAAGGTCTAATGTATTCCCAACAGTGTGTGGAGGACTGTATCCATTGTGTTCAGACAAAAGATGAGGTTAGGTTGAAGAGCTGGGATGTAGCCGGGTTGTTGACATTAATGGGAATGTTAAAATCTCCGAGAATGATAGCGGGTATTTCCGAGGAGAGAAAGTAGGGTAGTCAGGCAGAGAAATCATCAAGAAAACGAGACACCGGTCCAGGAGGCCGATAGATCACTGCAATCCTCAGAGAAATGGGAGAAAACAGCCGGATGCAGTGAGTCTGGAAAGAAGAGAGAAGGATAGAGAGGGAGGACTTGAAAGGTGCTCAGTGGGGATAGAAGCAAACCAACTCCACCTCCTTTCCGACCACTGGACCTGGGTGAGTGGGTCCAGAGGAGGCCTCCATCGGAAAGTGCTGCGGGAGAAGCAGAATCTGCTGCTTGAAGCCAGGTTTCTGTAACTGCTAGTAGGTTAAGGGAGCGGCAGACAAAAAGGTCATGAACAGAGGTGAGCTTATTACAGACAGGGCGGGCATTACAGAGTGCACATGAAAAAGGGAGGCTGGTTTTTAGGAGCACGGGACTGATATTAAATTGCGGCTATTCCTGGATGAAGAGTGTGAATCATTAACCACTACTCTCTGAATACGAGACCCCAAGGTTCAAAGTTAGTGGTGGACACTCAAGGTTCAGTATTAGTTATATACCCCAAGGTTTGGTGTTAGTTGTTGGACCCAAAGATTCAGTGTTATCAGTGGTAGTCCCCAAGGTTCAGTGTTATCAGTGGTAGTCCCCAAGGTTCAGCTGTTGTGGTAGTACCCAAGGTGTTGTTAGTGGTGGTCCCCAAGGTTCAGTGTTATCAGTGGTAGTCCCCAAGGTTCAGTGTTATCAGTGGTAGTCCCCAAGGTTCAGTGTTGTTAGTGGTGGTCCCCAAGGTTCAGTGTTATTAGTGGTGGTCCAAAAGGTTCAGTGTTGTCAGTGGTGGTCCCCAAGGTTCAGTGTTATTAGTGGTGTACTCCAAGGTTTGGGATACCCAGTCGAGAATCTCTCAAAACCAGATGTCTGCTGATTTTCCTTTTGGAGTTACATCTATGAGGACATACAGTCCATACACACCCAGCACAAGGCCGGGGTCACACTACCAGACGGTTCTCAGGGCTGCAGTTCCTCTGAGCTCCATAAGGTGGTGATCTCACTTCTACCCAGACAGGAAGTCTCTATGGAAGACAGGAAGTGCTGTCAGGGACAGACAGGAAGTTCCGGGTGAGAGGTGATTGGGGAGGAAGTAGAGAGGAGACATTGCTGGAAGTGGCAGCAGAGGAGGTAATAAGATCTTATTTCATATTTACACCCAGGAACCTCTCATCATGTCCGTTCTTCCACCATCACGCCCCTCCCTCCACCCACGCCCGTCCATCTTCCTCCGTCGTTCCTCCTTTACCGCCACGCCCATCCTCTCTCCTCCATCGTCGTTCCTGTCCTTTACTTCCTCCATAGTCATGCCTGTCCTCTTCCTCCATCGTCACGCCCCGCCCTCTTCCTCCATCTTCACGCCCGCCCTCTTCCTCCACCGTCACGCCCGTCCTCTTCCTCCATCTTCACGCCCGCCCTCTTCCTCCACCGTCACGCCCGTCCTCTTCCTCCACCGTCACGCCCGTCCTCTTCCTCCACCGTCACGTCCTTCCTCTTCCTCCACCGTCACGTCCTTCCTCTTCCTCCACCGTCACATCCGTCCTCTTCCTCCATAGTCACATCCATCCTCTTCCTCCATAGTCACTGTGACGTCTTTTATCTCCAGCAGATGATGATACACACATATATAGTGTGGGAACCCAGATTAACCCCTTCAGGGGCAGAACATTCTCCCACTTCTGGGGCCGGAACATTCTCCTCATTGTGGAGATGTCACCTTAGCAGTCTTCTGTGATGGGGATGGGATTTGGGTTCAGCTCGCAGTGTGTTCTCCGTGCGAACAAACGACTTTCCGTACTCTGGCTGATATCTGGGATCATGTTTGTGGATCTCATTTGTTCCCAATGCATTTTTATTATTATTTATAGTATTATTGAAGAACAACTCGAGTTTTATGCGGTTTTGTATGAGATCCATTTTTTAAAAAATATTTTTATTGGTGACAGTGGCGTGTCCTCTTCTGTTTTATTGATCTGTGAGATGGAATATTGGTTCTTGGTTTTATAGTTTTATTATTATCAGTTACAATGTCATACGATCTATTATTGATCTGTGAGATGTGATCTTGGTTCATCATATGAATTTTTGTCATTTTCTTTTTTATATATTTCTGTATCAGTGCAAATTGGCTAAAGGACAGATGATGAAACAATAACAGGACTGCAGGGGGGGGCAAGAAACAGGATAAACCCTAATTTACATGTGCCAAGTGCTATTGGGGGAAGCTGATCTATTAACCCCTTATATCCCCATCCTATATTGTACAACCAACACAGTCCTAATAATTCTCCTCTATCCATCTACAGAGATCACATGACCACATCAATGAGGATGGAGGAGGACCGGAGTCACATGACTGAGAGGATACTAAATCTCACCCTGGAGATCATCTACCTGCTGACCGGAGAGGTGAGGAGGATTCTGGGAGGTCACATGACATCACTCTTATCTCTGTTAATAAAACACAGACCTGACCGGTGAGGTGAGGAGGATTCTGGGAGGTCACATGACATCACTCTCATCTCTATTAATAAAACACAGACCTGACCGGAGAGGTGGGGAGGATTCTGGGAGGTCACATGACATCACTTTCATCTCTATTAATAAAACACAGACCTGACCGGAGAGGTGAGGAGGATTCTGGGAGGTCACATGACATCACTCTCATCTCTATTAATAAAACACAGACCTGACCAGAGAGGTGGGAGGATTCTGGGAGGTCACATGACATCACTCTCATCTCTATTAATAAAACACAGACCTGACCGGAGAGGTGAGGAGGATTCTGGGAGGTCACATGACACTCTCATCTCTATTAATAAAACACAGACCTGACCGGAGAGGTGGGGAGGATTCTGGGAGGTCACATGACATCACACAGACCTGACCGGAGAGGTGAGGAGGATTCTGGGAGTCTAACATGATGTTTCCTATTGGTTCCTCAATACAGAGATTTCCTCTTCTGAAGTCAGGTGATCATATGACCATCACAGTGCCTTCATGTGACTCACTAAACCCTGAGAGACACAACATGCAGAAGATTCTAGAAATCACCAAGAAGATGATGGAGCTGCTGACAGGAGAGGTGAGAGGTGCCAGGAATTCTGGGACATTCTCCAGTAACAGACAAGGGATGTGTCTGGATGGTGACTGTATCATTGTGTGTTTCAGGTTCCTATAAGGTGTCAGGGTGTCACTGTCTATTTCTCCATGGAGGAGTGGGAGTATTTAGAAGGACACAAGGACCTCTACAAGGACGTCATGATGGACAATCAGCCGCCCCTCACATCACCGGGTAAGAGGAGACTTTATTGGAAAGGGGAGAGCAGTACGGAGGGTCCTCCTAGATCCCCCATCATCTGATAAACACATAGAAACAATGGATTCAGCTACTTCTGATCCGTGGAAGTACAAGTATCAGATCAGCGCTGCTGCTGATCTGTGGAAGTACAAGTATCAGATCAGCGCTGCTGCTGATCTGTGGAAGTACAAGTATCAGATCAGTTGATCTATGACACTTGGGTGGATCCCTCTTCTTCCAGCAGACTTATTGCTAAATGTCATCATAAATCTCTCCCTGATCCAGATGGAATCTTGATGGAAGTGAACAAACCCTCTCCTATCTAGTGATCATGTTTTTCAGAGTAGGGCCAGTCCCCATTGGTTCTTAGTCCTCTGACAAGGCGATGTAAATGTAGATGTGCTCTGGGAGGACCAAAGGCCCCTTGACTGAAGTGGGGAGGAGTCCCAGCTGGTTGGGACATCCACAGAGAACATCTGCTCCCTCCTATCTCCCTGATCCAGATGGAATATTGATGGAAGTGAACTAACCCTCTCCTATCTATTGATGATGCTTTTCTATTTTTCCAGGACCCGCCATGGAAAAACCCTCAAAGGATCGTCTCACTTTATCTCCAGGTTGTAAAATGGAAGATGAGGACATCCCAGGAGATTGTGCCGGAGAAAAGACAATGAGCTCCACTATGGATGGTGGACTTCCCAGTGTGGAGAGACCATGGGATCCCTCGGACTGTGAGCAACCTCATACTGGGTGGGATGATTCTGGAATTCGGGGGGATGAGAATTTTTCCCTGTCCTAAATGTGGCGAAAGTTTTTACTTTGCACCAAACCTTTCTGTAGATCAGAGATCTCACACGGGTGAGAAGCCGTACTCCTGTTCTGCGTGCGGGAAATGTTTTTCTGAAAGGAGCAGCTTTACCAGACATCGGAGATTACACATGGACAAAAAGCCACATTCCTGCCCTGAGTGTGGAAAAGGTTATTCACATAAATCAGACCTCGTTATACACCAAAGATCTCACACGGGGGAGAAACCATATTCCTGCCCTGAGTGCGGGAAATGTTTTTCACAGAAGTTCATTCTTACCAGACATCAGAGGTCGCACATGGATGAGAAGCCGTATTCCTGTCCTGAGTGTGGAAAATGTTTTTCGTGGAAATCAAATCTTATTGAACATCAGATATGCCATACGCGGGAAAAGCTCTTTCCCTGCCCTGAGTGCGGAAAATGTTTTCCAAGGAAGTCAGCACTTGTCAGACATCAAAAATTTCATGCCGGGGACAGGCCATATTCCTGTCCAGAGTGCACAAAATGTTACTCACAGAAATCAGACCTAATTGTACATCAAAGATCTCACACGGGGGAGAAGCCGTATTGCTGCCCTGAGTGTGGGAAATGTTTTTCACTGAAGTCTTGTCTTACCAAACATCAGAGAACCCACACAACCCTCGAGGTGTCCCGAGTGCGGGAAATGTCTTCCATATGAATCATATGTTGCCGGACATCAGAGATCTCACACTGGGAAGAAGCACACCTTGATATACACCTCAGAAAACACGTGGCTGTGCGCTCCTCTGATCTATACCATGGAAGAAACACTTTATAAGGAGATCAGAGATCACTAAAGACTTCAAAGTTGTGTCTGGCTTCCTCTGCTGGGAGAGAGAAGAGGGGGGGTCACTGCTGGTTGGGTCCCTCTAGCAGTGTAGTCTGATCTCCCCTGACCTTCAGCAGAAGCTTCCATGGAGGACATCAAAGTGAGAGAGAAGGAGGGGGGTCACTGCTAGTTGGGTCCCTCTAGCAGTGTAGTCTGATCTCCCCTGACCTTCAGCAGAAGCTTCCATGGAGGACATCATGGTGAGAGAGAAGCAGGGTGTAACGTACCTGGTGGTGGAGCCTGATGTGGAGACAGGGCGTCCTCTTACCACTCCCGTTCGGGACCCCTGATAGGGTAGACAGGAGGTATCGAGCTGGGAGGGGCCTGACAGGTCTGCGGTGACAGCTGGCAGCTGAAGACCCGGAAGACCAGGATGCAGGTGCAGCAGCAGAGAGGTGTAGCTGAGATGCAGATGGCCGTGGCAGCTGGTAGCCAGAGGTAGTTACAGGCAGGAGAGGTAGAATAGTCAGGCAGGCCGGGTCTGGATCAATCGGACGGATCAGGCACAGAGGAATAGGCAAGCGGATAGTCAAAGGGAAAGCCAGGTTGCTGCAGTCGGAGTTCAGTCGTAGTCAGAGTCAAGCAGGTAGATCACAGGAGTCAGGATACAGATACAGGACGCAGTAGACCAGAAGGCACCATTCTGTTTGTAGCAGGGGTTTAAATAGCCCGCCTGTGCACTCGGGTGCATGCAACCGTGTGCGTATGTGCACCGACACGGGCATCGGAAACCTGGCGTTGGCACACATGCGAAGTTCTTCCCTGACAGAGGGGGGGGGGTTGGGTCCCTCTAGCCGTGTAGTCTGATCTCCCCTGACCTTCAGCAGAGGCTTCATAGGAAGACATCATGGTGAGAGAGAAGGGGGGGGGGGGTCACTGCTGGTTGGGTCCCTCCTAGCAGTGTAGTCTGATCTCCCCTGACCTTCAACAGAAGCTTCCATGGAGGACATCATGGTGAGAGATAAGGTGGGGGGGTTACTGCTGGTTGGGTCCCTCTAGCAGTGTAGTCTGAGCTCCCCTGACCTTCCATGGTGGACATCATGGTGAGGGAGGAGCTAGCTGTTGCTTGTGGATGAAGAGAAGGGGAGATCAGACTACATGGCAGGACCGACCATTTCATTGCAGTAGTTATCAGCCTGACATTTTCAGATGTAACATTTCATATTTGCCTGATATAAATGTTAATATTTTAACACAGTTTTTAGTGTAAATTAAATGAAGTTTAAATATTGCCATTCATAAACTCATGATATTTCTTTGTAAGTTGGTTGATAAAAGTCTTCCTTCAGATTTGTGTGATGAAATGTTCTTCTCCTTTATTCCTTCCTCTAACACTACAAGTACGGCCCATCCTGTAGGTTTTAGTCTCCATCTTAAGTCCATCAGTCCATAGCCCCATCTATCATTCCTCCCGTAATTCCCACCATCACCACCTCCAACCACAAGATCATCTTTCTTCCTCACTTTCACATCACATCTAACATAGAGAAACCCCCCCCCCCCTCCATCTTTTCTATGTCCCGTGTTCCTCTAAACAAGAGGATCAGCATGAATACAAACAGCCCAGTCTTGGGAGGAGTCAAGCCGTGTTTCTGGAACACCAACTCCATTCTCATCACTGACACCAACAACATCTCCCATTCTGCTCGGCAAGTTGTTGGGCTTGGTTTGGTTTCTCAGTTGTTGGTTGACTCTGCCCCAACACTGTGTGTCTCTCTGCCCTTGTGCTGCATTTGTGTCTCTGCTAGGGATGAGGTTCAGATCGAACAAGGGTTCCCTGCCTGTTCTCCTATTAAATCAGTTCCTCTGAACTCCACAAAGTGGTGATCTCACTTCTTCACAGACAGGAAGTCTGTATGGAAGACAGGAAATGATGTCAAGTATAGCCAGGAAGTGATGTCAGGTATAAATAAGAAGTCCCATGTAAGAGGGAACTCGGGAGGAAGTAGAGAGGAGACATTGCTGGAAATGGCAGCAGAGGAGGTAATAAGATCTTATTTTATATGTACACCCAGTAATCCATCGTCATGTCCATCCTCTTCCTCCATTGTCACGTCTGTCCTCTTCCTCCATTGTCACATCTGTCTTCTTCCTCCATCGTCATGTCCGTCCTCTTCCTCCATCGTCACATCTGTCCTCTTCCTCCATCATCACGTCCGTCCTCTTCCTCCATCGTCATGTCCGTGCTCTTCCTCCATCGTCACGTCTGTCCTCTTCCTCCATCGTCGTGTCTGTCCTCCTCCTCCATTATTATGTCCATCCTCCTCCATAGTCAATTTCCTACAGATAGATTTTTTTTTCCCCCTCTTTATTCCTAATCATAGCTCATAAAAACCTTCTTTTATTTCTACGTGAATAAAGGGAGCATTTGGGTTCCCATCACATTTCGGGAATGGGGGATTTCCATTGCCGGTCAGCCCCAGACTGCAACTGAATCAAACCAGGAGCACTGCTTCGATCATAGTACGGTTCGATAAGCTATTAGTAAACTTTCGAGCAGTAGAGACATTGACTAACGGCATGTTTATAGATACAGGCAGCACTCATAGAAAAAGTCTGTACTGGGTACCACCAGACGCAAGCTGAAGGTTCTGAGGGTTACAAAAAAGCTGCTTAATGCTTTGTAATCATCTGCTCTGTACATAGATCACCAAGAAGGTAATGGTGACCGCTTGTCCTCCTCTGGAGAATGCTTTCTCCCAAGTAAGACCTAGCCTTCCCTCTAGGCATCTTCCTGCAGAGGTTGAAGAACACCACAGATGCATCCTCTGCCTGGCCAGAGAAAATGACCCTCATGGTGGAAGTGCTTGGAACCACCCTAGCTGCTTTGCTGGGTACAAATGAGACATTCCAAAACTAGGTTCAGGCTGCCTGTCCTTGCAGGCGGGCCCCTTTAACAAAGCTTCTTCCTGAGGTTGTATTCCCATTCTTGTTGTCACTCCCACTGAACTGATGTAAAGCCTTGTCCTCGGAGCTGCTGAGATACTTTAGTTGTGATGAAAGCATCTGGAACCTCCCTTACTGCTTTGCTGGGCACAAATGAGACCTTCCAAAACAAGGTTCAGGCTGCCTGTCCTTGCAGGTGGGCCCCTTTAACAAAGCTTCTTCCTGAGGTTGAATTCCCATTCCTGTTGTCACTCCCACTGAACTGATGTAAAGCCTTGTCCTCGGAGCTGCTGAGATACTTTAGTTGTGATGGAAGCATCTGGAACTACCCTGACTGCTTTGCTGGGCACAAATGAGACCTTCCAAAACTAGGTTCAGGCTGGCTGTCCTTGCAGGCGGGCCCTTTTAACAAAGCTTTTTCCTGAGGTTGCATTCCCATTCCTGTTGTCACTCCCACTGAACTGATGTAAAGCCTTGTCTTCGGAGCTGCTGAAATACTTTAGTTGTGATGGATGGAACCACCCTGACTGCTTTGGTGGGAACAAGCGAGACCTCCCATAATTAGGTTCATGCTGCCTACCCTTGCAGGTGCTCCCCTTTATTGAGTCTCCTTGGCAGTCTTGCATCACCATTCCTGCTGTCACTCCCACTGTACCAGATCTAAAGCCTTGCCATGTGAGCTACTCAAATACTAGAGTTGCAGCACTCTGGATTTGTCCCCCTCCTCAATGCCCCAGAATCAGGTGTCTGGTCAATGTGGGAATTGCAGGCATCATCATGGGGCACCCAGCAGTCCTTTGAAGTTCCACCTTCTCATATTGGCCTGCTGCCTTGCACCCTAGACATTGGCTACCTCATGCTACCATATAGGGGGTCTGTGGTCTCTACCGTGTCCAGCCCCTTGAAGATGTCCCTTGTTCCATACCTGGCTAATGCTGCACCATCACATGCTGGGGATCAGGAGCCACTTCCATCCTTTCCTCTCTGCTGGGCTTCTTTGCATCCATTCCCCAGAGGCTCCCATCTCTAAAGGAGAGGGTGTGATTCCCCATTCCTTCTGTACTCGGGTATGGGGCTCTTCTGGCTACTCTGCTGCAGATGAACTGAGTATTGCTGGATATATCTGATAAGGACAGTTCCACCACTGCCCAAGTCTTCTTTGGATGAATGGGGACATCACATGGGTTTCAAAGTCACTATGGGAAGGTTTTTGCAAGTAAATATCTCATAAGCAGTGGCACAAAGTAACATATTAGAGACTAATTATGACTCGATCTTGCTGCAGAATCAAAATCCCTCCACTCATCCCGATCGGGAATATATTTCTGTCCCCCTTGGTGGGAGTGGAGGTGACCCCTCTATGAGGACATACAGTCCATACACACCCAGCACAAGGCCGGGGTCACACTACCAGACTTTTCTTGTAATTAGTGGTGTACCTCAAGGTTCCATGTTACTAATGGGGTACCGCAAGGATCAGTGTTGTTAGTGGTGTACCCCAAGGTTCAGTGTTATTAGTGGTGTACCCCAAGGTTCAGTGTTATTTGTGGTGTACCTAAAGTTTGGTGTTGGTGAACCCCAAGGTTCAATGTTATAAGTGGTCTACCTCAAGGTTCAGTGTTATTAGAGGTGAACCCCAAGGTTCAATGTTATAAGTGGTCTACCTCAAGGTTCTGTTTAATTAGTGGTGAACCCCAAGGTTCAATGTTATCAGTGGTGTACCCCAAAGTTCAGTGTCATCAGTGGTGTACCTCAAGGTTCTGTGTTAGTGGTGAACCCCAAGCTCCAGTGTTATTAGAGGTGAACCTCCAGGTTCAATGTTATCAGTGGGGTACCTCAAGGTTCCATGTTAGTGGTGAACCCCAAGGTTCAGTGTTATTGGTGTACCCCAAGGTTCAGTTTTATTAGTGGTGTACCCAAAAGTT